TTGAGTGAGAGTGAGTGAGTGAGTGTGTGTGTGTGTGTGTGTGTGAGTGTGAGTGAGTGAGAGAGAGAGAGAGAGAGAGAGAGAATTGTATAACGAAATAGTCAAACATCAAAAGCAGCACAAAATTAAAGAAAACAATTTCGTGGATAAAAAAATAATTCATTGAACGATTGAATAGAGTGTATGGTGTATAGTGTATGATGTGTTCAGAGCACTCATACCAGGCATAAGACAATAGACTTATGTCTTAATTTAGTCATAATAAGTACGACTTTGGTGTCAATCATAAACAAATGGAAAGAGTCGTCAATTTGTTTGAGTAGTTGTGAGGCGGCGACCCTTCGCCGATAAAAGCTGGCGACGATTACCAAAGAAAATATAAGCTTTAATAACGAGAATATGTTATATAAGGCATCGCTGGATGAGCCAATTCTCATGAGATATAATTGTGTTAATGTAGTCAACGTTAGGCTAAACAAGAATATTACTGTCGCTAAGAATATACAACAAAAGTCCAAACATTTCGCTTTTGACCTCTTGGTTGATGTCATCCCTAATGCCGTCGTTGTTGTTGTTGTTGTTTGTCTTACATTCAGTTGTAATCCAATTAATCTGAGCGATAATATTAAATAATTGAAATACCAATGCATTGATCTCGCGTTTGACATGTTTTTTACATTTTTATATGCATTAGTCGATTAATAGTAACGCAAATAACATATCAATTATTTATGATCATTGATGATAATTGCACACATTTTTGTTAGTTTTTCACACAAATTATTTATTCAATATAATACAGAATAAGAATATTCATCCTAATATTAATTATCTAATTTATTCATATTTTCATATAAAATATTTTCTCTAAACATTGTCTATTAGAGTAAGTCTTAAAAATAAGTTCATCGCCTCATATGATAACTCAATTTATAGGCAAACAATTCATTGAAAATAATTGCTAAAAATTTCGGTCAACACATGTTTATAACAATATTCTCAAACAATTGTCTAACAAAATATAATTAATGTTTAGATAGTAAGATATATAAAGACTACGTTAATTTGTTATCTAAAACCGCATTCATTTCCAGTAATAACAATCAAATGTAATAATGTAATACATTAAATAATTTGTGACAAAATTCTTTACAAATAAAGTCATAACAATATGTAGTAATAAATTGTACTCACAATATCATTTTGAAAAACTCAATGAATAGGTTAACTAAAAGTAGTGTACTAAGTACATACAGTACTTACAGTGCATCCAATGTTTTATTAATTGATGACATTTTCATGACTGACTGACTTCTATGCGATACTTAATGAATAAAACTTGTAATTTAAACGTTTGACTGAAAGGATGAAAGAATTATTGGCTTTTCATCGCAAGAATCCCTCATTCACTGCACTCTCTATTGTATGAATTAGTGACTCTAATGAGTGTTTGGATATAAATTCTGTGAAAACTTTATTACAAAACTAAATCAATCCATCAAATGGTGTTCATATGAGTGGACGTGTGAATGAACCTCCAAATTAACTTTTAATGTACTCGTCTATCAATTTCTCATTTACTATTATAAAGTCTAATTTAATTTTATGAACTCGTTTTATAGGATTTAAGTGAGTGTTATTGTTTATAAAACGATTAATTTTCAAAAAATGTTAATGCAAACGTAAAAAATTAATAATCTAAATTCAAAAAAAATATTTGCATTTCTATAAATGTATATATGTATATATTTATAAAAATGTGATATTATATCAATAATCATAATAAAACACAATATAATATTATTTGATGTATTCAGTCGAGTGTCTCCCAAATTCATCTCAAAGACTTGTTTTAAATAAATGACATATTTTTGGACTAAATATTAGATTTTCTGCTAATATATTGATCTCACACTAAATGCAAGGACAAGGAATAGCAATGAATTGTCTTTTCATATAATATAGAAAACAAAATCGAATTCCAATGGATTCCTAAAGATTTTTCCAAACAAAAAATTCTTCCACAAGAGAGAGAAAGAAAGAAAGAAAGAGAGAGAGAGAGAGAGAGAGAGAG